AAGCCGCACAGTCCCACGCGCTGTCCCTCTCCACCGACTCGCCGTCTCCCACAGACAACCCGTGGTTCAAATCCCTTCCCGTCGAACTCATTCCACCGAACAAATTGACATGGTTCACGGACCTGGAGAGGGCGCAGACATGGTATGCCCTGGGCATGGTGCATGCAGCTCTAGGCGAAAACCTCTTCGCTGCCGGCGACATGGAACGCGCGCTAGAGCTCTGGGGCGACAGCGACGGCAAAGAGAAAGTCGAAAACGCGTTTGAAAAGATCCGAGAAACCATCGACGAGCAGAGGGAAGAAATGTTCAAGGGTCAGTTCCGGCCGGGAAGTGGATTGAATCGGGCTGGAAGGATCGCTAGGATGCATGTCTAGACCTTAATGTATATTGCATCTCCGTAACATATTGATCATGAACCGTTTTCCAGTTTAACTACTTCCGCCTCAACGCCGCTGATCTCACTAACCAACCACTCCTTCCGCTTCGCCAAATCCCTCATCCCCTTCTCGCCCGCGCGCTCATACAGCTCCAACTCCCTCCTCGCCATGCCCTCGCGATCTCTCAGCGCCTTCTCCCCGCTTCCCTGGCTCTTCTTGAACTCCTTCAACGCGGCGACAAACTCCGGAGGCGGCGCGTGAGTAAGCATGTGGATCTTCGATTGTAAGCCCAGAATCGTGGCGCGCGTGTGGACCAGCTCGGCGGAGGATTTCGTATGCCGAGCTAGAGCGCCGTGTTGGGTTTGCTCGAGGATACGAATGGATGCAGAGAGGAGATTTAGGTGCGTGGAGAGCAGCGTGGACGTGGTGTTTGTGAGGTTGATACGTGCGCTGGCAAGATCATGCGGTAGGACTTGCGTTGCTGAACTTAACAAAGAAGCAGCTGAGGCAGACAGATCAGAGATGGCCGGTGGAGATTTTGGATCAGCGATTTTCGCGAGGTGAGTTACTAGGACGACGAATTGGGCTGATAGAGCGGAGGAGATGGTGCTGATGTTGGCGAGGAATGTGTCGATGTCGTCGGAGAGGATCTCGCGGTCGGTGTCGGGAATGTGGCCGTTGAGCTGCGCGGTTGCAATTTCTATGACGGCGTGCAGTTCGGGTGGGAGGTCTTTTGATCGGGATGGGAGGTCGCTGAGCGATTGGAGCAGGATTTCGGTGGAGATGAGGTTCGTCCGGGCGTCTGTCAGGCTCTGGGGAAGGTCTTAGTCCAGAAAAATCAACAAAGCCTTGCCCATATGAAAGAAAAAGGGTATATATGGTCATGGATTCAGAATACATCGGAGGATTGAGCCGAGAAATACGAATAGAGTGGTGTCTGAAATCAAAGGAACATGGTGCGAGTACAGCATGGAATTCAGGTGAAATATGCAATAAATGGAAGATGAATGAAATGACTTCTGCAAAAAAGCTTACCCGGCGTATCTCATCATGTATGCGCTGCTTCTTCGTGTCCCGTGTCGAGCCATCAGGGTTTAGCTTTCTTGTCGTGAGGTCCTTGTATAGAACATCGAAGTTCGGATTGCGTTCTAGTACGCGAGGATCTACTGGTGGCAGCATAGGTTTTTAATTGACCTTCTAGAAACCTTCAGTGAGCCGGTAGTTTGTTGTGGAGAAGTGCTGGTGGACACGCGTGAAGGTAAGGGGTCTAACCTAAATTGACTAGTTAGCGTCGTGGCCTGTGCCTCGAGCGGCTTCGTCTCGATTGGATTACCTCCTCACCCTTTCATGACGGCGCAGAGTTGTCTCCCCCTGATCATGCCTTGAGTCTTTTCTCAGTCCCGACAACAAGTTTTGCAATGGGATAGACCTTTTGAATCTTCGTAAGCATGTCCAAACACATGATCTGATGCACACCAAGTTGAAGCAACGATGTTCTATTCTCGTTGAACCTACTGTCTAACTTCGACTGCATCAATCCATGTGGCCCAATCAGCAGCATGTGGCCCAGGTCAAGGGTCGTCCAGGTCAAGTTGCCCTATTGCCCATGGATCAGGCCGTGGGGTTTCTCCTGTTGTCCTAGGATCATTCTGTCCTTGAGGAATTCCAGTATCGCTTATCCGAGACCGCGTCAAACGTAATTGCAACCAGATCGCGGCGATGAAGAACTGGGTCACTCGCTCCCATTGCTCGCGGAGCTTTGGGCCGTCGCCTAATTGCTCAATCAGTTTGGCAATTCATTGCGCCTCAGCTTTTCGCGGTCACTCTCGGCCATCGCTGCGCTAGGCATTGGTTGCACGTCCTCGAACCTCCAAACACGCCAAGCATCGCCTCTATAGATTGGCAACATTCTCTTCTGGACCATCGTAGCGGCTTTGTCGTGGCAGAACTGCATGACAAGTACCACAAACGTGCTCAGGACCCAGCCAAAGATTTGTCGGAGGCCCGGCGATGGAATGCTGCCTATGTGGAAGTGCAAGCCTGCAAGTTCCCACAGATAGTCGCAGTCGTCAATGTATTGCATATGAGCGGTCTTGAATGCTACCAACATGTGAGCGTATGGTCGCCCTCGATGTATGCGCTACTCACGTCCGTCTGCGAGCTGTCCATTCTTCTCCAAGTGATATTTGCGTAGCCGCCTGTAATAACGGTGGGCAATATCGGTGGGCGACATCTCTGGGCTGATCAAATATCGGACATTGACACTTTGCGTCGGCGTCTTCATGTTCTTTGTCCTCGTGATGCGTTGTGTTGTGAACATTATTGTAAGTGAACTATGTGGTAAAAGGGGAATAACGATAGAAAGAAGCCGAAGTGTTCTCGAAAGCTATGGGCTCTACGTTTGAAACATGAAGACGTGGTTGTTGCGAGTGCGTCGTGGAGGACAGGTTCGGCCAGAGCTGGCTCGAAACATGTTTGCGGCAGTGACTGCTGTCTAGCTCTTACTAGTTTGTATTGCCTACTCTATCAAAACTCGATGGCAACCGTGCTTCAGCCGCTACTCCTTGTACACAAACCGTTCAAGCCGCCGCCGCACGCAACTTCCTAGTCTATCAGAAGAGCCCATAATACATGTCACTGCATCTGCTGTATTTGTTGCATTCGTATCGCAGAGCTCCATCATTGGCGAATCCACAACCTTAGTTGAAGAAGTAGCTGCCTTTGCAGTGGCCCAGGAAGCGTTCCACCATGTCAGCAATGCCCAGATCTTGACTGGCGTACACCAATAACCGTAGATGACGTAGCCTGGGAAGTACACAACATCGGTAGGGTGCTTCTTGAAGTGGGCCAAGATCTTGACAAACTTCATAGCAGTAATAAACGCATAAAGGGTGACGGTTGCAACCCTGAAGTGTTGTAGCTGATCGTGTGCCTTAAGCACCGCGTGTAGCAACCAGAACATCAAAGGCTCCAGCACCAGAGACATCCGAACGAACCAGACGAGGAGCGTCCAGGTAGTATAAGGATGGCGTATCCACGACTTCCTATGGATCAAGTGCCGTGGATTTGAGCGGACGCTTGTTCCGAGCCAGCGCGAAACCTGCTCGTTGAACTTTGGCCACTCGCCCAACTCCGTTGTCATCATGGTCTCCGGGCCCGCCTGGAGCTTGATGTTCCAGTCATGCTCGACGAGCCAACGGGTATGAAACTTGTCGTCGTCGACATTTAGTGGACCCACCAGGCCGAAGCAAACACGCTCATTGAGATATTCCTTTGAGAGGCATATATTTCGGTGCGAAATGCGCCAAAACGACTTGATAGGGTCGACACTCCGCAGTCGATACCAAAGGTGCCGCAGTACTCGTAGTGGCGACGAACTAGATAGATCATTCCAAGGAAGTTCCAGAAGCCGGCGAGGGAGAATGCATGTTGTCGATGGCGCGCTTCTAGACCCACGCCAACCGCCCCTGCTGAGGGCTCTTCGAAAGGTGCTAGGGTAAACTGCAGGAATGAGTTTTTGTTCGGCCAGTATGTGTGGTCATCTTGCAAGATGAGTAGAGGGGTGTCGACATACTTCATCGCATGGGCTGTTTGTTCGCGCCGCGAAGCCACCTCGCGATGTAGTAAAACAATCCTTTGGTCCGAGAACAGGAACCGAAATGCTCCTTCGTCTTTCTCTGCTTTTGGGCCAGCGGTGGAGATGACCAGCTTAGCCACGGAGTGCGCAAGAACAGAGCGTACGACTCTGTGGAATGTTTCCGGCACAATGTCCGTTGTTGGTATGACAACGGTCAGATCCGATGCCTTGAACTTGGGAGATGTCGATCTGCTCGTTGGGCGATATCTCAGATTGCCGATGATACTCATGGCCACGCGCGTGTACCGAAGTAGGAAGACAAAGACGAGTAACAATAAACAAGTGTGGCTGCCAGGCCATTCACTGTTCGAAGCTCCTAGGAGGTCAAACTCGACGTACTTAGTGACATCCATCAGCTGTGAGAGAAAGCTCTGTATTCTCAAAAGTTTGGAAAAACCAACTGTGTTAATGAACCCGCTAGATGTAAGGTAAAAGAAGTTTGACACTCGACCGTAAGGGTTACAATGCACGTACTGAGAAATAAGATCCAATGGCAATGGAGCACATTTCACGAGAGGTTTTATACTATGCCATCTAGTGAATTCATGGACTTCCAAAGTGCTAATCGACTTACAAAACATGGCGTTGGAGAACGCCATCAAATCCGATCGTGATAACAATTCTCATGTGACTGTGAAGTTCGAAATGAGTTGCTAGACAAAAGCCCGACTCCGAAGCGAGCACGTGCAAGTGCGCCAACAGGCTGGTGCGATATTGTAAACCAAGCACTCAGCGTGAATGTTTGCTGAGAAAGTCGTAGGGACATCATGAACGAACTCCGAGAGTTCCGCCAGACATTTCAGCAGGTTCCCTAATTATGAAAATGAAATGGAGGCTCTTTGCGGCACACATTCAAATGTCTAGCACTGTTGAGCAACAGCACTGATGACGTTGCTGACCAGAGAGTGCTTCATCTAATCAAGGCTCTGTACGTGGGCTGCTTGCAGTAGCTGTCTTCCATTCCACCCCGGCGCTAAAAATAGAGTGGCAGTGCAATTGCTGTGATTCCTTGGTGGTACTGGGATAGGATGCTCAACGATTATGGCTTTCGACTTTCAGTCAAACAACGCCTGTCCCATATTTGGAAGCATCCGTCACGGCTTCACGTTTATGTTGTAATCGAGGAACCTGCTCTCCGCTTTTCGTGTGAGACGAGCCGCAATTCTTTCGCTGCAGATTCATCAAACTGCGAACGGAGTCCTTGCAACACAAACTAATGAGTCGCCCGGTGTTGTATTCCGTTCGCGAGATACGGATATGTGCATGTGGCAGGGTTGGTGATTGAATCGCCGTCGTGCACCGAAGTGTAGCATATTCTTCCCTCGACTGAACGCAACTCCCAGCAACGAGGAACGCGATGATTGAACACGTTTAACTTGCTATGTGTTCAGCGGAGTAGGAGTTATTCGGCCTCCGTTAGGGTTAGATAATGAAGCAGCAGCCATGTGAAGCAGGCAAGCGTCTGACGTATTAGGCGGCACGCAACATGCGGACACCGGCAGAAACCGCGGCTTGTGTTATGTGAAGGGAAAGCGCGATACGCGATTGATTTTCGGCACTGCATTAACGCAAACCCGAGTTGGAACAAGAGGCCGTGTCCTGTATACATAAGGGGGGGCGTTGACCAAACGCTAAAAAAGCGTGACACCAGTCGATGACGTGTCTGCGTCTACAACACCAACCCTTTGTCCTTCCCTCAAAGTACTGTACGCCCAGAAAAAATTGCTTGAAATCACAACAACTCGCACTTTAGGATACGGGGCCACGTCCGGTGACAAAAGAGCGATCGGCCGGACTCGGCCATCCTTCCTGTCCGAGAGAACACAGACCCACCCAGCGTTTCATCTCTTTATCGTCAATTTCGATACAAATTGCTGTGGCATCGTGGCTACCAAGGCTCACCACTATACATGTCTGCGTGGCGTGACAGGGAGGCATACTATAGGCTGTCTGGTGAAGAATTTTGCTTACTGGAGATGTCAAACGTCTCGTCGACTCAACTTACCGTTTTCTCGACCATCCATTTATACTCGGAAACGCCAATCCTCGTCTAAGAGTGCTTGGTACACAGATCTCTCGCGATATCTTCTCGCCCTCGCGCATGACTGTGAGGCTGAGCTGATCGTCTTCGAGGACGAAGAATAGTGTCCATGACAAGCACCGCCTCCAGTGGCGCTGTAGGTAAAACAAGCATTTTAACCCCCGGGCGCATAGGATGTTTCATCTTGGCAAAAATCAGGTCGCCCTCATCAACGATAAGTTCCGTTCAACCATGGCGCTTCGGCTCGAGTTTGGCGTGCCGCACGCCACGAGGTCACCACGCCAGCTTCAATCTAGACATGTACCGATTAAGCGTTTTGATCATATGATTCTGGCTACAGGATTCGCCCGCTTGTCGTGTTCACCTAAATAATGACTAGGATGTATATGTACCCCAGAACGCCACACCCTTCTCCACATGAAACAAGCATGGATCTCCGGCAATTAACCTGGCTAACCGGGCAGCAAATAAATTGCAACAACGGATGAAAGGACCAACAGCACGCAGAGCTGATGCTCGGAACCCCACAAGATTGTCTAGATGTGCTCCATGAGATCTATTCTGCCTAATGTTGAGGTCCCAGGTATATGCGCACTACAGCAGGAAGCGATTTGTATAAAGCATCGGACCCTCGCTCGACATTGACGACAACCCCAGAATCAACACTCAAGCAAACCAAGAGATCACCAAGCATCCCCCACACAATGAAGATCACTGCTGCAGCTGCTCTATTCGCTGGCCTCGCCGCCGCAGGCCCTGTCGAACTTGCTGAGAGGCAGTCTTGCCCCAAAGTCTACATTTTCGGCGCTCGTGAGACCACCCAGCCTCAAAGCAATGGTTACGGAACCGCTGCTGGTCTTGTGAACTCGGTCAAGTCCGCCTACTCGGGTGCCGGATCTGAGGCCATTGTCTATCCAGCCTGTGGTGGAGGAAGTGCATGCGGTGGTATCAGCTACGACAACTCGGCTTCTCAGGGAACCGCTGCGGTTGTCAAAGCTGTTACTGCGTACAACCAGAAGTGCCCGTCGACTCAGATTGTCCTCATCGGATACAGCCAGGTAAGTCATTGATTCGAACACATTCAACATGGCGCTTATCATGAATAGGGTGGTCAAATCATGGACAACGCTATCTGCGGTGGTGCTGGCTCTACCTTGACCGGCAACGCCCTTGCTGCTGTCAAGGCCGCCATCTTCATGGGAGACCCCCACAACCGCAATGGCCTGCCATACAACGTTGGCACGTGCAAGGCTCAAGGCGTAAGTCAAAATCTTTCATCCCTCTTCAGCCCTTCCGCTAATGAGAGTTTTCAGTTCTCCGCCCGCCCTTCAGGCTTCCAATGCGCACCCGCTAGTACTTCCATTATCCAGTCATACTGCGACGCCGCCGACCCATACTGCTGCAACGGCAACGACGCCAACTCGCACCAGCAATACGTCAACAAGTACGGATCCCAGGCTCTCACCTTCATCAAGAGCAAGCTCACCGCGTAAATGTCGGGCGGTCAGGTTTGAGAACGACAAAAGGTCGCGGAATCAAGACGGCCAACTTCTTCGCTGTAAATATCTTACCAACTTGAATGAAAACGTGTACATGACACCACAAACAAACTTGAAACGTCGTTGTATTTTTGCCATAATGTACTCGCTTGTCCTATCAGCTTTGAGACCGTGCGTCCCGCCCATCTCGCGCTCAATAGCATTGGTGCATTTCAAGATAGCGTTTGCATATGAAGCAAGCTCTCCGACTTTCTCCTTGAAGTATTGCCGTTCGTTTCCATTGCATGCATGTCGATATGGTTCGGTGCCCGACTCTGCTTATCGCAAAGGAAAGTGAACCTCAAGGCACATAAGCTGTCGAGTGCTTCATCATAGAGGAACTGGATCTTCGTCAACTCAGGGGTGTCGGGCTGGAAGACCGGGATGCGAATCGGGTGTGTGTGAGGCCGTGTGCCCGACATGGTGGAAGTTGCGAAGATGAGATGTTCCCTGCGAATATGGGGTCAATCATAGTTATCATGTACTAATAAGCACAGGCAATCATTTTTTGTTTGTGGCGGACTATACGAAAAGATTGCAGAAGCGTCAGGATGACTTCAGATATTCTCATGATTGTGCTCTTCGGTGTTTGCTACAACTAGCTTTTCCTAGAGCCATCCGCACGAGGATTTGTCGTCATTGTGGAAGCTCTAGCTATCTGACGCACGAGCTCAACAATTCTAGCCTTTGTCGCAGCCCTGCGCGCATACACTCCTCGAAGTGCTAACCAGCTCGCAAGACCCTAGTTATGCGGAATCAAGCCTGCCACGCGAGTTTTCCAGGTCTTCGTTCAAAGTTGTTGCATTGGTGGTATCGTTGTGGCACTACTTTGAGCGACTTCATGGTGTTTAGCCATGTTCTGAGATTATTCCATCGCGATCTGGAAGGATGAGGTACTTGTGATACCGTAAAAGTAAGATGTGGAAGCAAGAAGGGTATACATTCGGGCAATAAAATGCTTGCTGTAGTAAAACAGGTGGCCTTTTACGCATGCTTTCGACAACTGAGGTCTTCTGTGCCAGGCTCTAGCAATCAATCATCGCCAAACTTGAGTGAAGCAAGAAGCGTACTAACCCGCGACATGTACGACAGCATGATTCTACAACTGGATGTTTTTACACAATGAACAGACAATCTAACACCTGTTATGAGTTCCATGAATTCAAATCTACCCGATCACCACATCCACCTCACCCCCTTCGCTTATCCAACTCACCATCCACGTCAACAAGTCGTTTCACCATTCCATCAGCGTACTCAGACAGTTCTACCACACGGCTTCGATATGTCGCTCTTTGTGCCAAAGTCAAGAAACGAAAGTTTTCTTGTTGGGCATCGAACGTCTCAGTGTCGAGATAACTGTCCAGACTCTTTAGTGCAGCCAGAGCTGCATCGTGGAGGGCGATGATCTTGTCTTCTTTAGCGTCAGTGATACCGAAAGCAATGTTGCTGGGTCGGCCTGTGGGGTTCGACATGTTGGTGGAGAGTCTGGGTAAGGATCTTCGGAGATGAAGGAAGGCTTATAACCCCGTCTGGCGGCAGCTTTGCTTCTCGAAGCCACGTGATGGGTTCGCTCGGCCGGAAATATCAGCGCGCAGTATCACACGATGTGATGTAAGAGTACGAACTGAGAGCAAATGACTTGCTTTGGGTAGATATGTACATTGTGTGCTACCGTCATGAATAATCGTCACAAACCCACGCCAGAAAGAAAACAACCCGAGCTAACGCCATGCGAGCAATGCAATTCATCATGCATAATAGCCGTAATCGACCTACAACTTTACAACTTCGCCTTTGGCCACTGGTCGAGCAGGTCGTTCATCTCCCACCTGGGCCAGTCAGGGTTCAGGCTAGGTGCAGGTCGTTCGCGGTCCCAAGCCCACTTCTCCTTGAGTTCAGGCGTGAGGTCGTCTTCGAGCATTTGAATGACGTATTTGCCGAGGACAGGGAAGAACTTGTAGCCATGGAAAGAGCCGCACGTGGCGACGTAGAGACCCTTGGCGCCGGCATGTGGTGAAATGATGAAGTCGGATGAGGTTGTAAAAGCGTCCCTGCAATGCGTGAGCCTCTGGTCCAGAGAAAAGCAATATGAAAGAACTTACCAGCAGATACGGTGCTTCTCCATCTTCCATGTCGCACCATTCTTGCCATAGAATACGTGGTTGGCGTGGTCAATATCCTGCTTCAGAGGACCAGGGACGTTCCACTGGTGGTTGTAGTCCTTTCCAGATGGTGGCGCGGATACGAAGCGGCCAGGTAGCACCTCGTGTGTATTCTTGAAGATCTTCTCACCCCACCACTTGAGCTCACGGTCCTTGGTGGGTGGCAAGCTTCCAATAAATGGGCCCTGGGCTGCTGTGTAGCCTTGTACACCAACGGGCATATTGGCAAAACGCTTGTATGACTTATCATCAAGAGTGGTCATACCAGTGGTGATACCACCAGCAACGATTCTTGAGCCTGCGCGGAGGTTGGTGTTTCCGCTTGCCTTGGCAGCTTGTTCGAGCAACTTTGCGGTGTAGGCTCCGGTGGAAAGGATAACATGTGATGCGGAAATGGTGTTTCCCTGCTCAGTCTTGACACCAGTGCATGTTCCACTGTTGTCAAAGGCGAGGCTCTCAGCCTTCTGTGTGATGTACTTGACGCCATTCTCAATCGACCATTTGGTGATAGCTCTGAGCGAGTCGCCAGCCTGTGCCCAACCACTCGTCTTGTTTACGAGCACCTCTTTGGCGCCGTCATAGTTTGCGTCCTCAAAAAGGCCTCCAAAAAGCTTCTTTGCCTCCTCAATGGATACAGCCTGCAGATCCGCTTGGCGGCCAAGTGCCTTGTAGTTGTCGATGACTTCCTGCGCGTAGTCTGACCGGCAGACCCAGAAGATGCCAGTCTCATGGAAGTATGGCTTCCAGAGTGGATCGGACTTGAAAATGTCCTGTGCTTCCCAAAGCAAGCTGGCAGTACACTTTGTCGTCATAGTCAGCGCGGACGACTTTGTTCCAGTCCCAAGATGCAGCGACTCGGTTGTCGGAGTCCCAAGCGTCCTGATCAAGGATGGTAATTTGGCTGGTCTGGGTACTTCTTGATGAGATGGTAAGCTGTAGAAACGCCGAAGACGCCAGCGCCGACGATGAGATATGAGGGTTTAGCGGCCATGTTGTTCAGGATCCAGGGCTTATCGTCGCAGAGCATTAAGAGAGAAGTTGAACGGTTCTTGACCTGTGGTCTTCGTCGCTTAAAGCATTTATACTTACATGATATCTGTATATATCCTAATGCGGCTTACCAGCACATGTGGGCCGTTCTCGGCCTCGTCGTTGTGGTCGCTGGCGACTAGGCGCGGGGCATTCGTGGAGGTTGTTTCCTTATCGAGCAAAGCTTTGCGACGGCGAACTTTCGTTGCCTTTCCCGACGCGTTGATTGCAAACGCAGCCGGCTGCCATGACTTTTATTGGACACATGGCAGGTCCGATAGTTCGTTTATCTGCTGATACACGTCAAAGGCAGTGGTGATGTCGTTCATCACCGCCAGTTCTGCGCGCGGAAAATGGCCGACGTTAAGCGACATGATGCGCTAATCTCTTTCGGGAACAACTCGACATCGAAAGCGCCTTTGCGGAGCGGAACCATATCAGCTTATCTCAGGACATTATGAGGGGGATAATGCATTTGGTAGGATTTGACCAGATCTGGTCGTCGCAATGGTACAGGTGTACATCGTTGGGACTTGGTTGGCTCACAGGGCGCTTGTTCCAAACGATGACTTCCTATGACAAGCTCTTGTCTTACAAACTATATACTATCAGTAGGATTGTAGTACAAACATGGCAGTCTGTTCTTGGAAGCCAGTATCATTTTCACCTGGATTTGAGAATGACTGGGTTTCTGTCCTTGCTATCGCGAAATGACCTGGCCAAACAGATTGCTATTACACACCGGAATACGGACCGGTCCGCTTTGCAGAAGACGATTGAATTGGGAGCTACTGCATCGAATATGTAGACATACCTAGGTCATGCCAAGTACCTTGACACGTTTCCATCCTTCCAAGCCAATGAAAGGTCGTTCAAAAGTGACTCAAGTAGGCCCTGAAGAGGCTATCGGGCACAAGCGTATGCACCGACTCGTTCAGGCTGCAATAGAATCATCTGGATTGGAGCGCCATCTGCGCTCTAGCAAGTCTAGCACAACTAGAAGCCAATCCAATAGGTTCCATTCAGTAGCGGTACCTGAACCCTCCAGGTGGTACGGGTGTCGTAAACCGAAAGGCGCCCCGAGCAGCGCTGCTAGTCTCTCGCTCAGCTATCGATAGCGGAGCTTGAGATCGACTGCTAGATGGCGTGTTGGAGTGACGGGGTAGCCAAAAGACCCGCTCACTCAACTCCTCGCTTTCGTTTCGAACATACGCTTGAAGGTTGCGTCGTCTAGCTTGAGGCACTGGCAGATCTCGATAGCCTTGTGCTTCTCAGGCTAACTATCCAACTGTTACTTAAGCTTGAGGATGAAAACTTCCTGGTCAACGGTGTTGTGAGTGCGGTAGAACACGTGACTTTCTGGAAAAGTACCGGCATTAGTCCAAGGATACGTGCTCTATCTGAGTTGCAGAAACTGCGAGATATTAGCGTGGATGATTCAATATGAAGTATGTGATAATACTGACCATACAACTCTCCACCTGCTGGTGCTCCTATACTGGTTTGTACGCCTTGACCGTGTGTAACCGTTCGTGGCGGAGCTGCACTGATGGCGACCGCAACAGGAAGTCGGGTTTGTGAAGGAACATCAACCATTCATGATTGGCTTACCTGAATCATTCAGTGTTTCTACATCTGCACCAGTTTGAACGAGCGCTGCTGGCTCGACCGCGCATTCTTCTACGTGCAGGATTATCTTGACATGCTTGTCCTTGTTGCGCGAGAATCTAAAGTTTCCAACTAGACGTGTAACGCACCTCACCTAGTCGTGGTTGTACATTACACCGCTCGTGGGATCTGCGACAAGCGAGTTCTAGCTATACTTTTAAGCCAACCATCCTCTTCAGCCACGCTGGGATGATCGCAGCTGGTGATTAGCTGTGAGATCATGATATCCTACAGTTGAAGGATGACGTGGTCGCAGACGAAGGCCCTTTAATCATCCGAGGCCAACTCATCGCCGTATGTATGCTCATGACCCCGATCTTAGGTCAGCCACTTGTTGTGGATTCTGCAGGTCGATTCAAAGTACCCGGCATCAATTTACAACAACGACTCGCCATCGAAAAAGGTCAGCTCCATATCTTTTGTACCCGAGAAACACTGGAGCAGATATGTCAACATCTGATCTACATGCAGTGCAAAGCCGCGTGATGGAACGCTGACTGCTTTTGCGTACTTGAAACAATGTAGGAGCTCTTCGCCTGCTGTCCGACATAAGTCGGGCTTGCGTGCCATGTTCCAAATTTCAAGATCAAGTGGAATAGGATTTTTATTCAAGCTCTGCTCGATGACGTGCACTTTTATGTGTATGAAAGTGGGTACGAGAGAGTAGGCTAAATAGACCTTATATCAATGCCTTCGGTGGCGGAGTAGCAGAATGCCGGGCCGTCCTTGCTGATTACGGTTCATGATGCGCATCTTAGCCTCAGATCTTGGTGGATGTGTTTACTTGACATACAGCGCGTCTTGACCTAAAGTAGCGCGTTGCACGCAAACACGTGACATCCCCCGCCTTCGATCAACTGGTCTAGCATTCTTTGTGCGGGGTTTTTATGCAAGGAACGGAATCTCTCAGTCCGACGCTTAGTCAATATTGATTATGAGCCACTCTGTCTTATCTCACCATTTCAATGATCCAAGGGAGGAGTCAACACCTCTTCATCGACAAGAGAATCAACGGAATCGCGGCGACCACGAATTGCAATGGCAGCTACAACACCCTCACACATGAAGGCGTCTCAATGGAAATCAACCAGTGGTGGAATAGAAAAGCGACTGAAGTACACGACTAGCGCAGAACTCCCCAAGCATGCGCACAATCTACCGCCAGACCACACGCTGGTGAAGGTTGCCTACGCGAGCATCAATCCTGCCGACTACAAGCTGGCCGAAATCCCTCTGGTGAACCGTTTCCTCTTCAAGACACCCGCCACTCCAGGGATCGACTACGCCGGTACTGTGGTCGCCACCACATCGCCGCATCTCAAGCCCGGTGACCGCGTGCTTGGAAAGACGCAACCACCTGCCTTTGGCGCTACGGCCGAATACCTCGTCATTACCCCTGCATACAGCTGTGTTGCCTTGCCGGATGAGGTGGAGTTGGAGCAGGCTGCATGTGTCGGCGTGGCGGGTCTGACGGCTTATCAATCGATCGCCCCATTTGTGAAGCTAGGCAGCAAAGTTCTCATCAATGGTGGCTCTGGAGGGGTAGGAACTTTCGGAATTCAGATTGGCAAAGCTCTGGGTTGCAGTGTCACGGCTACTTGCTCGGGCAAAAATGCAGATTACTGCAGAAGCTTGGGCGCAGATAATGTGATCGACTACCGCAGCGCACCGGTCGTCGAAGCTTGAAGCGCTCGGGAGTACAGTACGATTTGATTGTCGACAATGTCTTTGAAGAACCGCAACTCTACTGGCAGGCCCATCATTACCTGAAACCCAGCGGAGTATACATTTCGATAACCTCAAAGTTCACGATACGCAGCATCGTGAATCTTGCAGGAGTCCTTGCGTTGCCACGCTGGTTGGGAGGTGGAAGCCACACTTCGAAATTCCTTGTCGTTTCCAATGGCACCCAGGATGAATTCCAAGCGGTCACCAAGCTCATGAAGGAGGGAAAAGTGAAGGTGCCTATCGAGGAGATCTTTCCGCTGGAAAAGCTCGGAGATGCGTATATAAGGTTGAAGTCGGGGCGAACAAGAGGCAAGCTTGTTATTCGGATCTAGGCGGTTTTTGAGAAGATCGAATTCAACAACACTGCTGCGATCAGTGACCTCCCAGCGATTGTAACAGTGGACGGACCACGGAATATCTAATTTTGTGATCTTTGCTCATCTTCTTACTTTGCAGTACGACGCTGTTCAAGAACCTGTAACAAGCTGCGCTTAGTTCATGGCGAGGTCCACACATCCTCGGATTGACCAGATCTGTCTTCTATTTCGACGAATACTCGTCAATCACACTCCTCGGCTCGACATACGTCCCGATTGGCTTATATGGAATGTCGTATCCGAACGCGGACGGCCCACCAATTGCTAGACCTTGGTCGGTGTCACTCCATCTCGGGCTAGAAGTTATTCCAAGCACAGTCACTCTGTAGCCGTACTTAAACTCAGGCACGCCCAGTGATCTACCCGACCCTGTATCCAGGACGCAGATCAAGTCCGGGACCGAACATATGATGCTCTTCGCTCCAGTATCAGCCGTGTGCTCTGCATAAATATTTTCGTTCTTGAATGGAATGGTCAATGTTCCACCAGAAGCTCGAGCTGGCATTCGGCTAGCTTGAGACGTTGACGAGTCTTCCTCCTCGTCTGAGTTCAGACTTGCAATGGTGATGCTGCCATAAGAATGACCCTTGAAGAGTCGTCTCTCCACCTCGACGATCTTGCCGCGGAACAGTATGCATGCACTCTGGTGTCCGCCAACCTGGTCGATAATGGCCTCGGCCACTGTGGAGAGCGTATTAGTAACCTCTGCCGTGGCTATGCAGCGGCCAATTCTCCATGCTAACGACACTGTATTCAACACACCAAAGTCCTGTACCCGTTGCTTCGTGCTCGGTCTCGCTGCAAGGCCCACTCGACTGCCCATCTCGGAACACGAAGCCCTCAAAGCTCGGTCGACAATCTCATCGTTCGAAGCCTTCGTCATGATGATCGTCTTCCCGTCGCCAGAATCGATCGCACACGGTACAAGCTCGCCCGGCGCATGCACACACAGTGTTGTCTGCCAATACGTTGGGTACGCTCGACCCATCCAGTCGCCATCTATGACTGGCCGATTAAAGAAGCGTGAGCTGGCCACCAGGAATGGCTCCAATCCATTCGCCCCGCCAATCTCCAGCCCCATGACTGCGTCGAACGAGTCATGTTCAAGATACTCCATCAATGCACGGAAGGCATCCACAGTCTCGAGTGATTGCAATCGCTCGTTCGACGTTGCTGGAGAACCCATATGTCCGCCCCAGTAAATACTGGCGTTCTCCGGTAGAGACGAGGCATCAATGACCCGCATTTTGTGTCCTGCGCGGAGCATGTCTCGCAGCTGGATGCGGGATGCGGCTGGAGATCCTCCTCCAGCGCAGCCAAGCATCGTAGCAACCGTCGGCGAGGAAGTTGATGTCCGTTTCAGAGATATGCCATTCAAGCACACCACTCTCTGGCGACTTTGTCACAGTGGGCTTGTACGTAAGCGGATCAACCGGTGGTTCGTCGATCACTTTGACCGAGAAGTTCTTCATCGTCTCGGCTTCGTCTTCACAATCATCGGCATCATCCTCGTCAAGCTGAGGGACGTTGAGGTTCACATCGAGCTCGCCAATTGCCTTCGCAATGGTGCGCAACTGGTTCGCAACGTACGATATCGGATACGTCTCCAGCTCCGCGATGATGATTGTCTCTCGAACGGCACCGGCGGCAATGGCTCGCTCAATCGCCATGGCTTTGGCTTTCTCGATTGCCTGAGCTGAAGACTGCTCGGCGACGCCTTGAATGATGTCAACTGTGCCGCCGACTTTCGAGATCGCTGCGCCTACGGCGTTTGCGACATCATGAAACGGAGGAGTGATGAGCTCAGAAGCACCACGCAAAGATGACGGTGCGAGAGTGGCGCCTCCTCCTACCAGCAGGACAGGTAAAGGTGCGGGCGAAGTCTTGATGATGTCCACCGCACTTTCTAGCAGTGACTGTATCCTCTGCTGAGGCTTTGTCTGATTGTAGATCTCCATCGAGACTGTCCACAGCACGAGGATTTCCCATTTTGATTTTTCCTGTTGCTACTGCAATATCCGATGCCGTGGTCACATTTCCTCCGAAGACCAGAGCATCTCTAGTGAGGTAGTGACCGACCGACTCTGGCCCGATCGTCACCTTTTCGCCCTCCTGTCGAACGATCGAGCCGCCACCAAGTCCGACAGAATGCAGCGAGGGCATTGCGTAATTCACACGAACGCCAGCAACTGTCACATACGCCGAGGCCTGGCGTGGAAGTCCGGAGGGAAGCAGTACACCCACGTCGCTCGTCGTCCCACCAATGTCGATCACGATCGCAGAAGAGCCATTCGTACTGTGACCAGCCAGATACGCCGCCCCACGCATCGAATTTGTAGCTCCGGAAGAGAATGTTCGAATTGGTATGTTCGCCGCGGCCGCGGCATCGAGTAAAGTTCCGTCATTCTGGGTGAGGAAAAGAGGACATTTCAGCGACAGATTGGCCATCGCCCGCCGGAAACTTTTCACAGTCCTCTTTGCATAGTTCAAGATCGCGGCGTTGAGAATGCTTGCATTCTCTCGTTCTAGTAGCCCAATGTTGGCGACTTCGTGCGAGACGACAACGTCGGCGCCGGGTATTTCCCGCAGGACGATTTCTTTGACTCGGTCCTCCTGGTGGAAGCATTCGTCGATGGGCGAGAAAGATCCCACGATGACGATGGTCGTCAAACCAAGCTTATTAATCTCTGCACACCGCTCCACGATCTGTCTTTCTACTATCGGAGCCTCCTCGGAACCATCTATGTGCAGCCCACCGTCAACGTATCCGACGTAGCCGCGGATAATGCTCGTCAGTCCAGATGGGAATTCACTGAACGGCGGGACCTCTCGGAGAAAGCTCTTCGACAGTCGAATGATGGCCACACGACGCAGGCGTCTTGCGTCTTGCTCAATGACGGCGTTGATGAAGTGCGTCGTCCCGACCGTGACGCTCGCTATAGCAGTCGCAGGAAGCTGTGATTTCTCCAGCACATTGCGCACAGCAGCTTCGATGCCTGCTGTCACATCGGGTGTGGTAGGCGTCTTGTGGTGAGCTAGGACACCTCGAGACGACGTTGATTGTTTTGATACATCGATTGCAACAGCGTCGGTGTTGGTACCTTGGGATGATCAATCTTCCGTCCACTTGCTCCGAGGCTTGGATAAGGTCTTACCTCCGACATCAACCCCTATGCGCACTGTACTCTGCTGGTGAGTCATATTGCTGCTGGTAGGATATGCTTTAGACCACAAGGCGCAGGTCTCTTCCGATTCTGAATGTTCTCAGATCAATGTTTTTTTGCGAAAGTGTCCTTTGAGCAATGCGTTCCCATTCCAACTTGACCGACCAGGATTGAGTGTTCCACGGTAGAAGACCTCATAAGCCGTGTTGGGAACGGACAATCTCGCCGCCGGCCCTTATCTCGCCGCCGCGGCCGGCCAACTCTGGATTTCGGGTTACCGATAATGAGGGTCGATTGAGTTGACTGGGGTCACCTCGCACGCCATCCCAGCAGTGGCTCGTACAGCAAAATACTGCTTACTTCGATAACTTTGCTTACGAAAAGACCTACTTTGATAGCAGTCAGAGAGAAATGCTAAAGACAGTCACTAAAAGGGGCATAAATCTTCGCCAAACGATGAAAAATACCTGCACCTAAGCAACTTTGAAAAATATCTAGGGGTTTTCACCCCTAAAAGGTGAGCAAGATCGCTCATTAGAGGTTATGTGCTTATGCCACTAAGAATGTAGGTACCGGCTAAAATTGCTTACTCCAAAATGTATGCTTATCCCGGGTAGTTGCATATCTCCACATTTCACTGCATCGACGACAACGCCTGTGGTCTGATAAGCAATCCCTGCTCTTTGGGGTTGGAGATGTCCGAACATGGTATGGATGTTCACATGACCTTCGATCGTATCACGGCAAACGATAGGCCAAGAGTTTCGCCCAACCGACGCGCAGGGATGGAATCGCATCAGGCCTGTACCGGCTTATCACCCAGCTGCAGTGAAGAAGGAGAACGCTCCCGTCACCCTCGCTCGTTTCGCTTTCCGCATTCTGATTGAAACGCACAAGTATATCCGGGCCAATGTCTATGCGATCGTTCCTGGAATTCGTTCGGATCCCATCCAACGAGAGAAGCGTCGTGAACGTATGGATCAATGATGACATACGACCGCTTCCACCACATCGACGAACATGGACGAGATGGGCATTCGTGAGCTTCTGGGCCATCAACCAGATTGCTCTGAGTAACTTTCAGATTGGAGCCTCACTTGTATCTACAGGACTTGCGGTGTGGCAAGCAGTGATCGCAGTGATTGTCGGGAAGATCATAGTGGCCGCTGTTGCCGTCGCCAACGGGTTTGTACCAACCGTGCCCGGATACGTGGTCGACACAACCGACTGACATCTTGCAGAATGGTCGGAGCGGAATGGCACATCGGCTTTCCTGTCGTGAGCCGATATATATGGGGCATATACGGGCATTACACAGCTCTGATCCAACGTGTTCTACTCTCGCTGGTGTGGTTCTCAGTGCAGTCCTGGACTGGAGGACTCTGCGTGCAGAACATTCTCGCGGCAATATTTCCCAGCTACCAAAACATGGCGAACCGATTCCCTGCTTCCGCACATATGGACACTAGGCAGTTCATTGGCTGGATCATCTTCAATGTACTGATGATTCCCATCCTCTACGTCCGACCGGAGAAGATAAAGTGGGTCGTACTGTGGATGAACGCTGTCAGCTTTGTGACGCTCCTTGCAATGACCATATGGCTTCTCGCAAAGGCGGGCGGTGGAGGGCCTTTATTGAAGCAGCCAGCGACTGTAAGCTCGAGTTCGGAATTGGGATGGAGCATCACCTCTGGGGTAACGACGGTCGTTGGAGGGATCGCTGTCGGACTCACAAATCAGATGGACTACTCTCGCTTCGCTAGGAGGCCGGGCGATCAAATTATCGGCCAGTGGGTGTCTATCATTGCTTTTGGTACTATCATGCCCACTCTTGGCTGTCTTTGCGCCTCAGCCTCGAAAGCAGTTTACGGTGAAGCCATATGGTAGGTTTTGGATATCCTTTTCCGAATTGTGGATGAGTTCCCTAATAGCGACCAGGAATCCTCCGGACCTCGTGCAGAAGTGGCTTGACACGGACTACACAGCCGGTTCTCGAGCCGCTGCATTCTTTGCTGGTGTGGGACTTGTAGTCTGTCAGCTTGCCATCAACACAATTGACAATGCATTTTCGGCTGGCATGGACATGGCAGGTCTATTCCCGTCATACATCAATATTCGACGAGGAGCCTATGTTGGACTGGTGCTGAGCATAGCCATGTGCCCTAAGGAGACTTCTCTCTTCCGCCGGTACATTCATCAGCGTACTG